ATAATGCAGCAAATCTACAGTGTTTCATTAACTAAAACTGTTTTTCACCCGTTTTTCTCGAGTTGAGGTTTTGACTGAGTACGACTCATTGGTACCGCCGCCAAATGAAGTGCGTTCGGACTAGGACATTCAAACTCGCAGTTATCGTTCAAAAGATAATGATGGTGCGAAATATGTCTGGGTTTTTAAAGAAAATGCTTTGTCACAGAATAATAGTCTGTTAAAGGTGCCAAGTATGAAATAATTTGGGGACAAAAAAACAAACCTGCATAGAAATCGGAACAATAGGTCTTTTGATTACCGGGGACACATTTCAATGGACTTGATTACGGACAATGCATGACGTAAATTTCACCAGGAAATTTCGCAGTGTGCTCTCGCAATCGCAGACTTTTTACAAGGTTCGCCATTTTTGATGTCACGTGATAATTATGTAAACAATGACTGTCCAGTTTGTGCAAATTTGTACCTCTATACTTAGTCTTTTGAAATATATAAGCTAAATTACTGTTCTGAACGAGACAACAGACAGAGAATGTATTATTCGAAAACGTCACAAAACCTTCTCGCTACCTTAAGTGGAGACCAAGAATTGGCTAAATTCTTGAAATAGTGAAAATTTATAACATAATATTCATTTCTTACTAGCAAATTTTGATTTTGTGATGTAACCTCATTGCATTTGTCTCCTTCTCTAAATGTTAACCTTGGTTTTCACGTTTCTGTTTCATATATTGTTTTGTATATTCCTTCTTACGATCAATAACATCAGCTTTTACATGCCTCTTTTTTTTTTCTTCAAGCTCAATTTGCCTGTGTAATTCTTTACTCAACAATAATGAAGAGATGAACTAACATCAGCCTTATTTTGAACCTGATATTTCACATGAGTAGATAAATCTTGCCAACTAATTATGTGACATGGTTCTTGACTGTAATCGGTGGATTCATAAAAATTACTATTTATTTCTATCAACTGATAAAATAACATGTAAACCTGTTCTTTTAAAACATTTTCGATATCAATAAGTGTTACGCTATCATCATTAAATTTCTACCAGTTATTATCAGATGCTTTATTACAGGCATAGTAATGTAATGGATTAGACTGATGTACTATTATACCATATAACTTGTATGAAGTATAACCATAGTAACTGTTGCTTACATACTCAGACATGTTTAAATTTATTGAATAACTGACAGGTGTCTTTATTTTATTCCCCAAATTTGAAAAACGTTTCAACTGTATAACATAGCATGTTGGTAATACTTGATTGGTCACATTTTTTTACAATGTCATGCACTTTGTTGCAATGACTACACGAATATTCATGTATTGTTTCTTCACTAAAGTAATCATTAAAGCAATTTGAAATAGAAACTGGTTCATTATTACTAGAATATATGATAGGAAGTCGTAAAACAGTGAATGGTTCAAGTCTAACATTCTGATATGCACAGTGTTTTGATTTATATGTGTTATTATACCACTTTTGGTCATGGGCATCATTGTTTGATTTTTATTCTTGCAAAAAGGGTGAATTTATATGCAAATTGTAAAGAGCATTCGCAAATATGCAAAGTGTAAACGGTCACCTTTTATTCATATGCAAAGTGTAAATGCTACACTTGTATCAAAAGTGTAGCGTTTACAATTAACATATCAATAGAAGTGTAACTGTTTACAATTTGCATATCAATCAAAGCGTTACCGTTTACAATTTGCATTACAAATGAAACAAAGTATATGCATTTAATCACACAAATCATAAGGAGGGTGTAAATCGCACTAATTTAATTATACTTTCTATGGAAAAACAACTACAACACTACAATTCAATATTGACACATTTGTTTCCGTCCTGGATCTTAATTTTAATTTGTTTAGAACAACAATCATTTGAACGACACATTTCTCTGAATTCTGCATGTGATGTTGCAGTCACTGGTTCAGGCAGTGGCTGTTCATATCTTTCAACCTTAGGCTTGTGTACGGAACCAGGATCGTCAATTACGATGGCTAAAGTACTTGCTTTCGGTAGTGGAGGTTGGAGAGCATCAGATACAATTTTCTGAAGAGAGTTACTTGTTTGTTTATATGTTCTCAACCCATCATCCGATCTGTGACCAGTGCGTTCTTTGATTAGTTGCTCACCAAAGCCTTTTTCATGCAACGAAGTCACCGCAGTAACCTAAAAGTATGAAAAGAATGATTTGAGAAGTAAATATACCCACATTTATTTGCATCGCGTTTGAAATACGTTTTCACAATGTACAATATTTGTTTTCAATCGGCAAAATTCAAACACATTTGAACCCATCCCAAGATTCCACCCACCCCAGAATCACTTGAGACAAACTTACCTTACCCGAGTGTCCAGTATGATTGATACCCATCTATTCCAGCCAGATCACACATTCTTTTTGGATATTGTCGTAAAGTATTTACTCCAATCTTCTGTTTATAAAATTTGAGCCCTCCGCTGGACGTCGGTAGAAGGGACCTTTCGGTGGAATACATTGCAAATAACGTTTCAATAACTGAACAACACAACGCGTGTTGGAAAGAACGCCGTATTGGCGCACATTTTTATACGGGATTTTCCGCGAGTAATACAGTCCTTGATTATTTTTACACGGTCTACCATTAAATTCAATATAGTCAGCTTGATTGTCTGATCCTTGTACGAACTGTTCGGCTGTAAGGTTACTATGTTCGTCGACTGCTCGGAGAGCGAACACTTTACACACATAAAAGTAGACCGCATAACTCAAATTTGTAGCAGACTCTATGGAAAAAACCTTATCCCACAATTTGTTTTCATCATCATCTGTGTATGGTTCAGCTTGACATTTAATAACACCTATTCCCCGTCTGTCTATACTCTTCATTACACCGTCCAGGGTGTGATGGAATTCCATAAATTCCCGAGCATGTGTATCCATAAAGCACTCTTTTGCATTCGTCACGTAAATATCTCTGAATTGTCTTGTCGACGAGCCTCGACAACAAAGCGACACAACCAAAATGAAAGTTCACGTACACCAAGTTCGCTGCATAATCTGGGAACAAATGTGAACACGTCACTACTGCTTACCCCGTGCTTCTCGACTCGTTCATTTCTGGCTCGGTCCCATTCATCCCACACAGACACTCCCCAGTTAGTACATCTACGCGTGTTTTTTGGCACTCGCGAATTCTGACTGGCAGCTATCTGTTCATTGTCTACAGGTAAACCGAAACGTTAAAATCTTCTTTTTCGTTGTATTGAGAGCAAAATCTCTCAATGTCATCGTTGTACTTTGAATCGGAGATGTCACTGTATTTGACCATCACTGAGCGCTGCCTGCATTCGAAATGACAAGACCATGCTTTGACACATGGAAAATTCAAATGTATTCAAAATATTGACCAATGAGTGGAGTTTATTTGAAAAGACCATTCAGCAAATAAGGTTTATTGGTCATATCACTTAACAACCAATCGTATTCGATGAACGCAGATGAGCTTTACTAATTTGAATCTCAAAGAGCATTCTTATGCAAATTTGAAGTGGTACAATCTCACGCACAACCGAAACAGTCACTAAAAATCTCTTGCCTTCGGCCTCGTGCGTTTTACAAGATGCTGACAAAAACTGTGGCCTTTATAGTTATAAACGCACTCCAACTCGTGCGATTAACTATACTTATAGGTACCCATAAATATACTTTGTAAAGTATGTACTGGCATATTATTACTGTTTACGTCATATTGTTCTAATATATCAAATATAATCACAAGAAATTCATGGGCATTATTTTCTACAAGAGGATTAATTAATTCTCTACTTTTAATGTATTTCTGTAACCATGCTGCACTATTAAAACTGTTGTTACCCAAATACATGTGAATTATAAATGATTCCCATTCACATAACGAACAAGATGGTGTTTTATATTTTCTGCATTGAGGGGTTTTTGATTTGGGAAGAATGTAGCTTGCAAATGCTGGGGTATGTATTAATACTTGTATATAACATTTTGATAACAAGGCCAAGGTTTTGTAAACCAGCACCAGGGAGTTCATTTATAACAACTATCCAATCAGTACTCACAATATTCTTTTGATACAGGTGAAACTGATTTAGTAATTGCATTACATTTGAAGATATTTCACTTTGATTCGTTAGTCTGTTAAGTTTGTTCATTAATTGATCCATAAGATTATAAACTTTATGGGTAACAACATCTAATTCTACATGATTACCTGACTGAGGAAATACTTCACTACTTACTTCAAGGTTTTGTTGTTTACTGTACTGTTGAGGCTGTGACTAGCATGCTCATTTTTCCTACATGTATTTACAATTTTGTTCGCGTTTTAGTCTAAAACTTTTTTCTTAGGTTGAGGCATTCTAAATAATGATAATATTGAAATGACACTTACATAATTGTGCAAAGTTAACTCAATAGTCTGGATATTAGCAAATACTGCTCAGTTAACTACTATATATGCCACCTTATAGTATAATTATCTTATGTGACTAAATAGGATATAACTGATTGTACAGTAATAACTTTAGAAAACTTATTGCACTGAAGAATACGCTTTATAGCAACTTGTAGTATAATTATTATATGTGAACTCTAGAAAATAACTTATTGTACATGTACAGTAGCAACTTTACAAAACTTATTGCACATAGTTTGTAAC